CATTATGTAAAGGTACAATTCCCAATGAGAAATGTAATTGTGTTGTATACCTAAAATGTACCAATAAAAGAATTTTAAAAAATGTGTTTTTTTATAAAATGGAGTACTACTCAGCCCTAAAGAGTGAGAAACTAGAGACATTTATAGCTAAGTGGATGCACATTGAGGCCATATTCTTTTTTTTTTTTTTAGAATTTTCAGTGTTTTTATCATGTAATGTAGACGTTTTAAATAGGAAAATAATTTAAGACAAACCATAAGAGCAAAGCCAAGGATGACTCCATTATGATAAGCTGTGAATAAAATCAGGACTATTTCCAATTTCACTGAAGTTTGGCCCCAACCCGTGAAGTAGCGAGAAGTCCCAACATTTCCCTTGAGTGGAAGCTGCAGCAGCCTGGCACCGGGTACGGCAAGCACACAGGGGACCTTGCAGCAAAGAATAGGGGGCCCAGGCCGCATGACGTGCATCTGGGAGAGTGCCTCCTCCTGGCGGACACACTCCCTGAAGCAATCAGCTCCTGCTCCACTCCCAGAACATGTCAAGGGCCGATGGAGAGCGATTCTCTCCACCAAGATTGCTACGTGCCAATCCCTTAAAACAGCAAGTTAACAAGGCTTTATTTTTATCAAATATCTATATAATTTCAATGTGAAAAACATGTACATACACATTTGTTATTAAGATCTGTGAGATGGATCACAAAATAACAGAGGCGAATAATGTGAGCCAGTGCTCCACACAGAATTGAGGCCATACTCTTAAGTGAAATATATAGGTCACACTTGTGTAAATACAGAATAGTTTCTCTGGTGTGAAAAACTAAAAGTGTAAATAAGAATCAAAATGTATAATTGATATTATAAAATAGGAAGAAAATGTCTGAAGGAATAGGGAAAATGGGAGGGGAAGAGGAAAGGAAAGAAGGGAAAAGAAAAAATATGAGAAAAGGAAAAACATGGAAACAAAGTCTTTGTAAATATGGAAGGGAGGAGGGGGTGAAGGGAGGGCAGGGGAATGGGGAAAAACTAAGAACCAAGATACATCATGTAAAGGTACAAGATCCCGGTGAGGAATGTAACTGTATTGTATACCTAAAATGTACCAATAAACTAAATGGAAAAAAATTTTTTTAAAAAAAGAATCTATGGGACACAATGAAAGCAGTCCTAAGAAGGAAGTTTATAGCTGTGAATGTCCATATCGGAAAAACATTAAACCCAAAGAAATAACCTAATGATGCATTTCAAATTCCTAGAAAAACAAAAAGAATCCAAATCCAAAGCTAGCACAAGGAAGGAAATTATAAAGATCAGAACAGAAATTTCATGAAATTGAGCCTAAAAAAATAGAAAAAAAATCAGTGAATCAAAGAACTGAGCTGGTGTTTTGAAAGAATAAATAAAATAAAGAAAACCCTATTCAATCTTACCAAAAAAAGAAAGACCCAAATCAGTGCAATTGGAAATGGAAAAGGAGAAATCATCACAGACTGCCAAAATCCAGAAGATTATTAGTAACTACCTTGAGAATCTGTACTCTAATAAAATGGAGAATTCACTAAAAAATGGATAGATTCCTAGATACACATGAACTGCCAAAGCTGTGCTAAGAAGATATAAAATCTTTGAATAATCCAATATCAGGGAATAAGGTTGAATAAGTCATAAAAAATACTACCAACTAAGAAAAGCCCTGGTCCCTAAGGTTTCATAGCCAAATTCTATAAGAACGTTCATGAAGAACTAATGCCCATGTCCTGAAACTCTTTAATGAAATCAAAAGGGAAAGATTACTTCCAAAGTCAGTCCTAGAAGACTGTATTACTTTGATTCCAAAACAAGAAAAGGTGCCAACCAAAAAAGAGAACTATAGGCCAACTTTGATGAACATAGATGCAAAAATCCTCAACAAAATACTGGCAAATAGAATGCAACAAATCATAAAAAAGTTCATACATCACAATCAAGTAGGATTCATCCCAGAGATGCAGGGATGGTTTAACATATGCAAATCAATAAATGTAATACATCACATAAACAGAAACAAGGACAAAAATCACTGAATTGATATAGAAAAAGCCTTTGAAAAATCCAACAGCCATTCATGGTAAAAACGCTGAAGAAAATAGGTATAGAAGGACCTTATTTCAATCTGATAGAAGCATTTATGACAAACCAGTGACCAACATCATATCAAATGGGGAAAAGCTAAAACTTTCTGTCTAAAATTAGTAATAAGACAAGGATGTCTACTATCACCACTACTCTTCAATATAGTACTTGAAACATTAGCCAAGGCAATTAGGCAAGAGAAATAAATAAGAGATACATAAATTTATCTACCTACATCTCCTAGGGTTCATTTTCCTAAACCTTTTAGAAGAAACCAAGATAAAATTTCCCCTCCTCCTCCTCCTCCTCCTCCTCTTCCTCCTCCTCCTCCTCTCTTTCTTCTTCTCCTCTTCGTCCTCCTCACCCATCCCCTCCACTTCCTTCTCCATCTTTTTATATCTTCAGCACCTAACACAGTGCCAAGCAGGTGGTTAAGTGCTCAGTAGATATTTGTTGAAGGAATGCATTAATGAATAAGTGAATGAATGATTGATTGAATCCCCACAACACCTACTGGAGATTATGGAAACAAAACTTAATAAGGAAATTCATGAAGAAGTATTTGTAGCCTATGCTATGCCAAAGTTGTGGTTTTGACTGAACAGCTCTCCTGGTAATGGCTAAGACTCATTGGAAACTGCTGACAAGATAAATTTCCTTTTGTATTGTCTTTTCTAGATTTTATTTAGTGAGCTATTCTTTTTTATAGAAATAAAGCCCAGTGAATTAGCTTAAAAACAAGTTAACAGTATAACCACTGTAGATTTTATTTCTAAGGCCAAACACAGTAAAGTAGGCTGATTTTTTTTAAGTAGGCTGATTTTTTGATGTGTATATATTATCGTATCACATTTCATTGTGGTTGAAACTGTGTTGCATTTTATAATTGATATAGCATGACATAACTAAATCCCAATTCATTTAGTTCTGAGTATGCTCTCTTCTTTTTTATTATTTATTTATTTATTTATTTATTTGTATCGGGGATCGATCTCGGGTCCTTGTGCTTGCAAGGCAAGCAGGAGAACCACTGAGCTAAATCCCCGGCTCTCTTCTCTTTTAGACACAACTTGTACACATTTGGTCAGCTTGAGTAACAATGGTCTTTGTAATTAGGGCTCATTAATGGGAAAAACGGATATATTTTCCACGGATTCACTGTTGTTCTCTAGAGAAGAAAAATATTGGTTACTGCTTAGACTTAGAATTTACATTTTAAGTTGTAATCTTAAATTCTTAAAATACAGCCTTCAAAAAAGATGCTAAGAAAACCATGTAGAACACTTTTTTGGTCCTGTAACATCAAGGACTGAAATTCATAGACACAGTTTCCTTTTGATTAGTCCAACCGTCTCCCAGTGCCCCCACAGAAGAAGGTCATGGTGATAATTTCAATGTCAAATTCTCTTAGCTTAGTGTTTTAATACACTCACTTTTCCAAAATTCTCAGTCTAATCTTTCTATTTGATCAAGACACAAACTAGATGTTTGGTAACTATATACATAATTAACTCTAGAAAATATTTTCTTGAATATTTATTTCCTTAGTAATTCATATTGATGTGAGGAACATATGTTAGTTGTTCATCTCTTTTCAAGATTTACTCCTAGTTAGTTCCACAGTTCTATAATGATGTGTGAGGTCAAGTTACACTAGTGTTAAATTATAATATATTAATAAATAATTGTGAAATAAACTTATACAATAGTGAGAAGTGTCAGGGGACGCTGGCACAATTCATAAAAATAGTTATGTCCAATGAAGAAGAAAAATGGGAAGCGAGACAGCACAGGATTTGTAAACATGCCATGCTGTTTTTTATGGTGCTTTTAAATGCCAAGGATTTGAATTGACTAAATATAAACATCGTAACCCAAAAGACATTGCTGATGATTATTAGTGCAAAGGAATTTTTTGTATTTTGGTGCTGGGTATTAAATATCACTAGAATTTAATGTTTTCCCTTTCTAAAATATCAAAATAGGATTAAATTTTGATAAATATCTATGTCATACAATTATGTATTTGGTATAATTTCAATAGTTTTAGAATGTAATTTGTATAGTTTTTTTTATTTGGAGGAAACTTTTCTTGTCCAGTTTATGGCAATTCTGGTGAAAGTATTTTGTGTACTTAAAAAGAATTCATATTTGTCAGTTTTTAGATGGAATGTTTTATAAACATCAATTAATTCACACACACAAAAATAAAATATCAAAATAAGAGAATATAGAAAACAATAATATTTTTTCAACGTTTTAAAATTGTCATCAGTGTCTTTTCTCTCTTTGCTCATACAATCTCAGAAAAAATTAATAAAATACAACTCTCTTTTCATAGTCATGTTGACTTCTAGAGTTTCATTCTCTGGAATATAGAATACTTTAGCACTGCTGCATTCCACAGGTTGGGGAAGGTTTACCAACAGCTTCCTAAAATAAAATACAAAGCTAGAATTAGCTTCCTAAAGTGGTATATCACTTTGAGTAAACCAGTAGAAAGCAATAAATACCATTACAATGTTTGAATCCCATCCCTAAGACAACACACCTATATTTAGACAGTATAAATATTGGATTGAAAATATACTTCAATAATTAGTCTACAAGTTTTTGGCCTTAAAAATTCAAGCAGTTGTTTTGAGGCCCTCTTTCTTTTTTAAAATTGACTGTTTATAGGTACCAAAATAGAAACATGCAACTTTGTATTTGGAGGACAGGTTTGTTGTCAGTCGTATTTATGTGTAGATAGAATGTGGCTAACTGAGAAAAATCTCAAAACTGGAATAGTTCTTGTAACAGAACTTTGGGCTGAGTCTTTACTACAAGTGCAGTTTTTGAAAATGAGGCCTGGAATGATTTCAATATCAGATCAATGAAAATGCACTTCTGTTTTCTTCTGATTATTTCTATTACACCTTGACAAAAATTTCCTGTGATAAATTGCAGGGTTTATATCACACTTTATGGCTGAGTTGCTGGATAGTTGTATGCATTAGATACATTTCTGGGATGAGACATCCATAATTCTGTCCTAATAGTACGAATCTGAATTATGCATGGGGTCAGTACCTGCTAGAGTCTAAAGAAAATTAAATACTTGAACCACATGTTACCTCGAATTCTCAGTAGAGAAGGCCTGAATGTTTCTACAAAACATGAACAGAAAAGTTCTTTTAGGCCCAAATCAGTAAATGAATCTGATATTTTTAGGGATACTTCTTGGGTACTTGAATTGACAGCTAGTGTTTGAAAACCAAATCCTTGAAAATCAATTCCCTCTACTCATTTGAAAAGATATAAATTCAGAGGACTGGGCTCATTCAAAGTATTTATTACACATTTCCAAAATCTAAAGGAGAAATTTTCTATTACTCTCATTTCATTACAGATGGGGCATGAGAAACAGACCTCTACCTGAAGTTATGGCAGAGTATTTTAATGTAACTTGTGACATTTGGCATCTCAAAAGAGTAAGCACAAAAAACAATCAGAGTCCATCCATTAAAGCTATTTACAACCATATGTTGTACTAGAGTTGGATTTGTTCCATCCCTTATTCTATAAATGAAAATATATTCACTTTAAAAAGAAAGAAAAGCTTAGTGTGGTAGCTTTGCACTAAAAGACAAGAGAAAAAGGTGTTCTGATGATAATGAGCACTTCTTTGTCCACAGAGAAATAAATTCAAAAGAGACAGTTAGGGGTTATTATAATGATCCATCTATCCTTGCACTTCTGTCTAGTTCTGCCTGAGAAGTATGGCTTCACATATTAAAATTTGAAAGACAGAATCATGCAATTTATTTAGATTCTTAGGAGAAGGGAAGTATTTTTAGTCTAGTTTCTTGTTTGGTGTCTGTACAGAGATTTATAGTTAAACAAAAATGAAAATTCTGTAAATATTTATCCATGTGCAATTCATTGAAAGATAGGGCTGTCTTAGTTTGGTGTTTCCGCAGTGTTCAGCAGGTTGTACATGTTTGTTGAGTGCATAAATGAACAAAATGATATTGAAATAATTATAGATGAATACCATAAAATATGAATAAACATTTAAACACAATCTCGATGCCTTTATATTGATAAAACACTTGTTTCTAAATTCCAATTTAGGCACTAAACAAATATTTATCCAGTATTAATTTTCACTAGAAACTGTTTAAATGCAAAAAGTAATTGTTATGGCTTGTATCTAGCTGTCTCTCTAAAACCTCATGCACTTGTAGGTGGACAGTTTCAAAGGTGGCTGGATTAGGGTGTGTCAGTGTGGATTAAAGGTGTGATACTGGGATTCAGGAGTGGATAATGGAAGCTGTATCTTGGGTATGAGTGGCACCAGTCAATAGGCTTGTAGCTTGGATGGAATATACAGGCACAGAAAAAGGCAGACTTGTTGCTACTGCTGCTTGCTGCCTTCTGGCTGCCCTGCCATGCCATGGACTGTTTCTCCTCTGCAATCCTCCTCTGCCATGCCACCCTGCCTTAAAGCCAGCTGACTGGGGACTAGTCAGGAAACCTTTACAGACTGTGAACCAAAATAAACTTTTCCTCCTTCAACTTTGGGTGTCGAGTATTTTGTCCCAACAACAAGAAAAGTAACTAAGACAGTAATACGTAAACAAATAATATTAAAATAAAAATTTATCTGTATAATGAACTCAAGTTTAGAGACTTACATGCTTACATTTATATTGGAGAATTTAAATTGATGTTGCTTGCATGCTATTTAAATAAAGTACAAACTTGTTCTGTTCATAAACACATAACACAGTTTTTATATTATGTAATTAATGAAAATTATTTGGTTTACATATCTGGGTTTAAAACAGATATGGCCTTTTTAAGGTTTCCTGTAGTGGACATAAGTATTTTCAAAGAAAGTGCAGAAATAGCTACTGAGCTTCAATTCAGCTATTACAGAACTTATTTTTTAGATATCAGGGTCTTTGAAAATCAGTCAATTCTCAATCTGAATTAAAGGAGCACAGCAAAGGTATGATTAGTCAATAGCAGCATTCAACTAAAAATTAATTTGTATTTGTCTTTAAAGTATGTTTTATTATCACATTTAAGATATTCATTTATGATATTCTAAGAATTCACTTAGAAAAATAATGAAATTTTGTGTTAAGATGAAAGCAGATTCTGGGAAATTATTCCATCTTTTTCTCCTCTCTATGTACTCCATGTTGGAAATTTACATGCCCAAAACAGCTGAGAATAAATTAAGAATTCAATAAACAATTTATTTTGGGTATATTATGCTAAATATCTGGGTTTTATGGATAATTCTAATGTAACTATTCTTTGAAATCGTTAGTTAATTCAGTTAAAATAAAATCACTTGTTGTACCTTATATATACATGGACAGAATGTCCACTCTTAAGTACTTTTTGGAGTAGATAAATATATTGTTATAGGATGTTAAAGTTAGGAACCAAAGAAATTAGGTGTTACTATCAATAAATTTAAAAACAACACATTTCTGATGATATGATTTCAGATGTTGACATGACTCTAAAGATAGTGAAATATCTAGGAAAACTGATAAATTCTATCTTTTGTCTTCTATCCTAATTTTTTAAGAGGTAGTGCCTCTCTGCATTGAGCATTTAATATATAAATATAGTGCATGTATTTGTCATTTGTGCACATAATTTATATCATTTAATATATAAGTACAGCATACAAATGACTTAGTGTAGCCCATGCTGTATGTGGAAAAGAATCTTGGTGTCTTTCATTTATTGGATTCTGATAGATATCTAGAATGACAACATGGCCAGAACAGCTGCCTTAAGATTGATGGAGACAGTGAAAAACTGCTATGGTAATGGAAATTAACTCCATGATGTACAGGTATGAGTATGCTTTTAATACTTGTGCAAATGTTATAGAAGACTAGTTGTTTTACCAATTTTCCTTGCAAAGGCTGGGTGTAAGAGTAAATATATGTAAAAAGTACAATGAGAAGAACAAAATACTTGAAGTTAATAGTAACAGTGAATGAAATTTTTATAAGACTTTTTTGTCAAGAATATACTTTTGAACTGATGTAAATAATGAAAAAACATTTGGTATATATTTATCTGTAGATCATTTGGGGTTAAATGTTTCTACTATAGAAATCAAACTTAAGCTATGTATGTACATTGCGTTGTTTACCTTGTTTATCCTTTTGTAAGAGGAATCTGTTTCTTATTTTCTCAAAGCCCTAAGCTCAACAAAGGAAAATTACAAGTACTAATAATGGAAGAAAGAGAATGTGCCAGCCACTGCCTGCTTCCTGAGTCCAGTCTGAGATGCCCATGAGTTACAGAGAAAGGGTCACTGCAGTCAACCATGTGTTATACATCCAGAAGAAAAGTGAATACATCAGTGAGGTATTTAGATATTTTATCTAAAATACACCAGGTTCCATTGATTCCCTTTTGTTTTCTTTTGTTTTTTTTTGTTTTGGTACTTGGTCCCTGTGCTTTGAAAGCAGGCGGTGGAACCACTGAGCTAAATCCCCAGCCCTCATTGATTCCCTTTTTAAAGAGTTAGTTTTGAGAAACAAGACTGATTTATCTATGCTTCAAGAGAAACATTTTATATTAAAATTTTACTCTATGTGTTGCTTGGGGAATATGATTTTAACCTATATAGTAAAAAGACCGTGTCTGAGAATATAAAAATATTTAACTGAATTATTCCATCATCTGTACTACTTTTAAATGTTTCCACACAAACTGAGGATCTAGTGATAAATCAGCAATTAGAATTTTTGATTTAAGTAATTGAAAAGAACTTTTAGATGAACATAATAAAATTTTACTTTAGGAGCCCCACAACATTCAAAAATTTTATAGATATTGCTTCTCTTATGCCTTCACTATACAAAAAAATCACATTCAAAACTTACAACTTAAGGGATTTTCACCTGTAGCTATTTATTCTGACAGGTAAACTATACTTGAATGTCAAGGATTATGTTTTGATGGCATCAATCCACTCCAAATGTATAGATACAAAGAAGGAAAAAAGTCTAGGTATTTCCAAATATATTTGTACTTGTTTTATATAGATCAGACATCTGAATGAGTAACTGAAATTTCACTTTTCTTAGGACTTTAGGAGGTAATACAAAATAATTGTATACATTTTTAAAAAGAGCATTTACTAAGGACTCATTGTGATGTACTATTCCAATTCTAAATTTTACTCACTTATTAGGAGTTCGAAGATCGAGGACTATTTCCTGGATATTAATTTGAATTTCAGAGGGGTTTGTATTGGGCAGTTGAATTTTAACCTGTGAGAAAATGAAAAGAAAATATATTGTTATTTCCTGATCCAGGGACAGTTAGTTTGGAAAGTGTGTGAATAAATGAGGAAGGGAGAACTAATATTTATTGAGGATCAACTATGTGCTAGGTCATGATCTTCCCTTACATAATCCTGATAAGCAAGGATCATCATGCCAATTTTATAGGTGAAGAAGCAAAGAAGTTTAGTTAGTGCAACTATCCAAGGGCAACCATCTGTAATTTGGCTAAGGATTATCTGACTCCAAAGCTATATAAAAAGCATTATGGTTATGTCCCCATTACCTTCATTGTCTACAGTACACTATTAAGATTTGGTGGGCACCTTAGACCACCTTTCTACCAATGGGTCATTTATATGAAAATGTTTACTTGTCATGTTAAATGTGAGTTGGTGATGCTATCTTGTAGTCTTTGGGTAAAAAGTATCATATACATTTCCTAGGGAAGTGCAGGAATCCAGAAAATGTTGCTAAGATAACAAAGGAGAAATAACAACATGAACCCCACCTCCCCAAAAGGATTAATTACTGATTTAGCAAAATTTCACTTACAAATAGCTCATCTCAATTACCTCAAGGCTCAGCAATTCCCCTGTTGTGTATATACTCAAGAATATTGAAAACAGGTATTCAAACTGAAATGTGTACATAATGTCTTTGTTCATAACAGCACTAGCCATAATAATCAAATATATAAGCAATCTATGCATCAACTGATGAATGAATAAACAAAAAGTGGTATATCCATACAATGGAATATCATTCAGCCATAAAGAGGAATAAAATACTGTTATATTGATGAACCCTGAAAAATTTACACTAAGTGAAAGAAACTAAGCACCAAAAGCATATTTTTATGATTCTATTTATATGAAATGTCCATAGTAGAAAACTCCATAGAGACAGTAAGTAGATTGGAGGTTTCCAGTAGCTGAAAGGATGGGGAAAAGGGGGAATAACTGCTTAATGGGTATGAGGTTTCCTTTGGGGCTGATGAAATAGTTTTGGAATTAGATATTGATGATGATTGCACAAAATTGTGAATATACAACTGTAAATATCAATGATGATGACTGTGTATTTTACCACAACACAAAGTCTCGTCTCTCTAATTTGCAGTCTTACATTTTTTTTTGATGGAACTTTGTGTGTGCGTGCAAGTGTGTGAGGTGGGAAGAACAAGGCATGTGGTTTTTGTAAAAATAAAATGCAACTTAAGGTTCAGTTAAATTATGAAGCCATCTCTAAAATAAGCTAGATTTGAAACATTTGGACATGTCATGGCTGGAATGGCCAGAATAAAAGCAGCAAGTTACAAGGAAAATATATGTCAAATTAGCGCGACAAATTGGAATTCCTTGTAAAAAGCTTAAAGTCGGCAATCATGTTTTTATAATATAATGTAGCAGACCAATACATGCTTGTGAGTTATATTTTACTTAATCTGTATTTAAACAAACATGTGTAAATACAGTATAGCTCTAGAGGTGTGACTATGTAAGTACTTCCTATGATTATGTTTTCATTAAACAAAATTATCCTCTAATTTATATTTCAAAAGTTTAGACTTTCATAATTGGAGATGCTTTAAGTGAAATAATACAATATTTTTCAAAGAGGCAGATGTAGCTGCTCTGACTCAAAGTAAATGAGCCTTTTATAGGACAAAAGAAGTTCTACTCTTACTGTAATAAGATTCAGTTTGACAGTGAAATTGATATGTTCTTTAATATCACATGTTGACTCATCACCTGGATGAAAGAAGGCAAATATTTGTTTCTTTACTTTGAAATGTTGAGCTCTTTCAAGGTAAAATATTATTTCCCCAGGGTTAAAAGACAATTGAGGAAGGAAAAGAATTATTACTTATATGCAATTTAGATATAATTTTAGGTAGAACTTCAAAGTGGTTCTTAAAATCATTTGTAGTTCTAGAAAGAGTAATTCAGAAACAATCTCATTTTTCCTCTTAAGGAATTTAAATTATATACTAAAATGATTTCAAACGAAAAACAGGAGAAAGGACAAATTAGGTGGAATGAAGCACATTAATATCTCACAAGATAGAAGATTCCATGAGGGATCATAACAGAAAAATTCTTCTAAAATATGAATATGACTTCCTGAGTAATTAATATATTTATGAATAATCAGGAAACAGACAACGCTATTAGTTGACCTCTAACTGACTATGATCAAGACCTACTGCCTTGTTAAATATTAGTAAATACAAGGTGCCACTGACTAATTTAAAGAACTGATGCTGTTTTCTTTGCGTAGATGCAAATTGAATTCATTTTAAAGAAGGAATTACTTTATTAAGCAAACAACGAAAACTGCCAAGGATTTCACTGGGAAACTTTCAATTTGGGTGGAGCTCAACCTTTAGAATTATACTTGGGTTTGAATTCTAGATCTGTCATTTATTACTTATTTTTTGTTATTGGTGGCTCAAAACAACAATAAACATTTATTATTTCACACATTTTCTATTGTTCAGGAATTTGAGAGACACTTAGCTATGTAGTTCTGGCTTAGGGTCTATCATGAGGCTCTACTCAAGATCTTGGCTGAGTCTGTAAACACCTGAAGTTTTGACTGGGGCTGGACAATTTGCATCTAAGACAATTCACTGGTGTGGCTGTTGGCAAGAGGCCACTGCCCTTATCACAAGGATTTCTCCATGGGGTTGTTTGAGTGCCTTATGACTCTACAGCTGTCTTCTCCCAGAATGAATGATCCAAAAGATCAAGGCAATGCCTTTAAAAATGCAGCCTCAAAAATTACCCTTTTCCTTTTTTGTAGTATCTTATTGGTTACACAGACTAACCCTATTCAATATGGGCAAGTAGTATACAAAGGGAAGAGTATTGGAAGGTGAGAATCATTGGGGACCACCTTAGAAGCTGACTGCCACAATACTCATCTCTAACTTTAATTCAAACATTGGATTTTTTCCTGCTACTAAGCAACAGGAAAAAGGTCCACTAAATTAAGGTTTAGAAAATCTCATCTTCTCAGTTTCAGCTTATCTTCAAGCAACTTATCAAAATCTACCTGGTTAATTTAATCTGAGGCTTTCCTGGAGAGAAGTAAAGGTAGGTCAAAGTGTTTACAACTTATTTTCAAAGGCCTTCATTTATCTCCTGATATAGTTGCAATAGAGCTGGATCACTATATCAAAGCCTCTTAGATGGGGGTCATTATTGTGGTATTATCATTTTCAGTTTTAGCTTTTATTTTGGTTTGTTCTGGAGATTAAATCCAAGGCCTTTGCACTCAGCTACATCCCCAGCACTTTGTTTATTTTTTATTTTGAGACAAGTCTCATTAAATTGCAAAGTTGTATGTACAGGGCTCAAACTTGCAATCCTCCTGTCTCAGTTTCCCAGAGTGCTGGGATTACAGGAGTGAGACACCACACTTGGATCTTTTTGATTTTTAGATCTTTTCTTTCATGTCTTGTTCTTATAAGAGATTTATAGGACAAGATGATCCCCAAAAGATCATATTCTTATAATCTGTAAGTGATTTATACAGGCACCCAGCTTCCCAGATAAATGTATATGTTCTTATTACAAGATGTGTGAAAACTGACATAACGTTCAAAATAACAGGTGCTCTATCAAGGTCATCCATTGTAGATTTCCTCTTGACACATTGTCACTACCAGAAAAGAAGAATACTTTTTTAAAAACCTTATATGTAACTTGGACAGTCTACAATATTAAAATTTCAATCAAGCTTTTGGGCCTACATTTTGGAAGATAATCTAGCTTAATATATGGGTTATAGATATAGTAAAAATATTTCTATTTGACATAAATACAAAATCACCTCCAGTACATTTTATTCTTAGGAAAGAAGATTGAGGAAATTTTAACATAAAAGCTTGGGTAGGCTTTATTATGAATTGTTTCAATGATTTAATTTCCCATTGTTTAACTATGAAACATATGTGAAATTTTTTTCCCCCACTGAACCATACAAAGTACCTTATAAAAACTCTCATAAGCAATAGTAATCTGTAGGAAAATGAAAAACATTAAGGGTGATGAATCCTTATTTTAAAATATGTATATATATTTATATTTATAATTATATATATTTACTTAGAGCAAGAGAGAAAGAGAGAGAGAGAGAATAAAAATATAGATGCACTTATATTCCAAAACTAGGGCACAAAACCAATATGTCATCTTCTTAAATTAAGGGATACATTTTCTATAATGGTACTACTTTTAAACATTCTAGTACTATATTACCATGTCTCTCCTTTTTAGAAAAAGTAGTCTCTAGAAGGATGACTCCTCTCCTGTCATAAGAGTCAAGACAGCCCAGCACATTCTTGAGTATTTACTTACCTTCACCTCTAGTCACTCACAGCCTTACCACCACTATCTTCTTGAGACCACCAGAACTAAATTCATTATACTTTTATTTCTATTTGTCAATAACCACAAGACGTTTCAGATTCCCAAGTCATTCCTTATCACCTAATACTTACCATATGTATCTTCATATCTTATTCTGTTTCTATTTCTTATCCATCATCAACTTTCAAAACTCTTCCTTCAGACCCTTTGGAATGCATAGAAATAGGAGGTAAAATTATTGAAAAGGAGGAAGTAAAAATCATTATCTGAGGGAAAAGCAGTCCAGGTGGAATGAACAGCAAGGAATCAGAAAAAAATAGTTTGGTATATTGAAATATCAGAAAGAAGGCCAGAATAAATAGAATGTAATGAACAAGGGAGAAAATGTGACACCAGATGAGACTAAGATTAGGTCGGGGTCAGACATACAGGACCTCATTGGTCAAGATAAGGAGTTTGGGTTTTGCTCTTACTGCAGTAGGAAACCATTGAGGGTTTTGAGGAAAGAAATGACATGATCTGATTTACTTTTTAAAAGAGTTTCTTACACTATGTGTGGAAAGGGTATAGAGATGCAAAAGTTGAGGGATGGAGAGTATCATAATGGCC